CGTACGTACGTCTCGTTACGTACCGTACGTACGTACGTCGTAACGTCGTCTCGTACGTCTACGTCGTCTCTACGTCTCTACTCTCTACTCTCTCTCTCTCTCTCTCTCTCTCTCTCTCTCTCTCTCTCTCTCTCTCTCTCTCTCTCTCTCTCTCTCTCTCTCTCTCTCTCTCTCTCGTTTGACAGAGGATTATTTGCAGGTTTGCTTGGATATTTGCTTTGAGCCCAGTACCACTCCTTGTGGTCACAGGTATGAAATTGTTCTCTGTGAAATTACTAACTGTTTATTATGGCCTTTTTGCCCCCTGTTTCCTGTGTTTTTGGCCTAATCAGTTACTGTTGATAATGGCAGTTTCTGTTTAAGATGTTTACAGTCAGCAGCTGAAAAATGCGGGCGGAAATGCCCGAAGTGCCGGCAACTCATCAGGTACTCCCTTATGGACATTTTCCATAATACCTCAAATTATGAACATGAGAGAGAGTGTGTGTGTGAGTATGAAATGGGTGAGTTTTTCTGAAATAAATGAGGTTGTTCTTTCAGCATTGGAAGGGCTTGCACTATAAACACAGTACTATGGAACACCATACAGCTTCTGTTCCCAGAGGAAGTTGAGGCAAAGAAGAAGGCAGTTGAGGAGAGAAAGAGAAAGAGACAAATCATGGCCGAAGCGAAGCGAAGGCCTTCTCGGGTATTACCAACAGTTTCTCAATCTACAAGCAACAGAGTATTGGCTTCCCATTCTACAAGCAACAGAGTATTAGCTTCTCATTCTACAAGCAGCAGACCAGTGGCTTCTCTCTCTACAAACAACAGAGCATTGGGGAGGAGGAGAACACCAAACCAAGATGAGGATGCAGCCTTGGCTTTAAGGTTACAGAGAGAAGAATTCATGGCAGGTTTTCATGATTCTCAGTTTCCAAGAAGAAGCACTCTATCTTCTGCAAGAGCCAACTTGAGAGCCATGGCTTCTCGAGCAATGCGCCTTCGTGAGAGGAGCCGACCAATTTGAGAGCCACGACTGAAATCAGTTCTATATTAAAGGGGGTGGTTGTTTTATCTGTAAAAATTGTCTTCCACATTTTGATTAAGGTCTCCCCACTTGGAATCCTCCAAGATTCAATGAAATCTGAAGATATACAATTGCAACTGGCAGATGTTGTTGGGCGAGTTTAAATTTTCTGCACTTTTTATGATTTCTACTTGTGTTATTTTTCTTCAAGATAATAAGATATGTCCCTATTGCAAAATAATACTATTTTCCATTATTCCTCCAAGATGCAACTAAACATCTCTAAAGATACATAAAAAGTTGGGTAATGTCTTTACCATTATTATTTTTTGTTGCACTGTTCTTATTTTGAGGGAAATTTGTCAAAATTATTCCCAACCGTCGATCATGTGTTTCTTAATTAAATAAAAAAATACAGGTAAGATGTTAAATTTCCTAGTTGCAAGTGGTTTTAAGTGAGATTATTTCTGATAAAAAACGACAGTCATCGTTAGGCTTCGTTTGATTGGTGGAAGAAGGCTTTTGGAAGCACCACTTTCCGAGTGGTGTCACTTCCCTATTTTACACTATTATAGAAGCCGCATAAAGCTGCAGATTCCAGAATAGTGCACAACTACAAGAGGTGCGACAGTTTCGGAAAACCACTGCTTCAGAAGTCACGGCTTCCTATTATCAAACACGCACACTCCACTTTGAATTTAGAATCCTCCATGTTCTATGTGATCTGTTCTAAAATCTGCAATTCAGTTTGTGAAGGTCAACTTCATTTAATTGATACTTTCATCCTTATGCCTACAAGTGTCCAATTACCTAATAAGTAGGGAAGGCTCTGGGCCACGAACTGTGGCACCAGGTCGACCCGACCTGATCCGGAAGAAAACATTTATGGGATTGGGAGAAAAAATTTATGGGATTGGGACCTGGACCTGGACCCGATTGGACCTAACTAAAAAATAACAATATATATTTAAAGGGTGTGGTTTATATAAAGTTGCAACCTTAAACAATCCAATTAAGGTGCACCTTAAAATGTTATCATAACATGTAATTTTGTTGTAAAAAATTATTAGTATTATCTTAAAATTTATTTTCGTACCTAATTAGAAAATTTTAAATTCCAAAAATGGTTAAAATCAAGTAGATCTATAATTTAATAAAATCCTGAAAATGGATAGTCTAGATAATGTGTTACTATTCCGGGACTCAAAAACTTTTTATTTTTCATATTCATACATCCTGATATTGAGATGATCGATAAAAGTGTTTTTTCACATTAAAACAACATTTATGATAGATTTTTTATGTGCATATGTGATTCTACATTTTAAGGTTGCAACCTTATAATAAACTTTTGTGTTAAAATACATGTATTATTTTAAAATTATAATTAAAATATGAGTAATGAAAACCCTTCCACACCTATGTGTGTAGGATCTCAAATGATCACCATTGAATTTGGTACAAATATCTAAAAAAAGTCAAGTCCCACATCCATGTGATAACCTTTTTAGAGATATGTGCCATATTTAATGGTAATCTCTTGGGGTCCTATAGGTATGGGTGTGGGAGGGTCTCATAGGATCATTACTCTTAAAATATATAGTTATATTTATTTAAATATTAATAAAGTATAATATATTAAATATTTTATATATAATAACACGATCCAGGTTGGGTCCGGGTTGGGTCCACCCGGACTAGTGTTGGAAAAATCAAACCGTACTATATAACCAGACATGGGACCAGAAGCGGTTCAACCAGACTAATCGGTAAACTTGCTGGCTCAACCATTCTGACTGGGCAAATCCCCGGCAGTCAAAAAGGTGTTAAAAACATACAATTTTTTTTAATACAATATAAAAATATATTTAAAGAGTGAGTAAACGAAGCACATCTAAATGAAGTTGAAAATTAATAAAAAATGAATTTTAAAAAATTGACTTGTAACTAAAGGTATTTTTTAATTTTTTAAAAGATGTGAAATATAAAAATAAATATGAATGGCAAAAGCCAATTCCAATTTTTGCCATGAAAAACATTAAAATATATATATTATAAACAAAATCCTTTATTTTTTGGGATTTTATGTTTTTTTTTTTTTAATACCCAGCCGTTCACCAAAATTGGCCGAAATTGGAGCCAGCCACTGGCTGATTGCAATCTAATTGGACAGTTATCAATTAGAACCGGCAACTTTTCCAACAATAACCCAGACCCAAATAGTGTTCGGATCCAATATTTGGAACCGACGGGTTGGGTTTGAATCCGGATGTCGAATCCTAGATCGGGTCCGGTTCCAGTGCCACCCCTACTATGGCCCGAGGGCCAGGCTGGGTCAGTGTCAACCGGGTTCGGCCCAGTCCAAGCTCTCTTATTTGTTTTAAATTTTTTAATTTTTATTTATTTATTTTAGTGCGGCCCGGCTGGGGACAAAAGATGGGCAATGGGCAAGGCTAGCCCGGGCCATCCGGAGTGTTGGCACCCTTACACACAAGCAACACTCACATGGTTTAGATATCGTCGCCAAAAACCTGACTACGTGGGTCCAGGATAAAAGGTCACCTCATCCGTGATTTATACGCTATCTAAACACGACCGAAACGCTACTTGTTAGAGAGAGATCTTACTTTTGAGGTTTTTTTAGAGTGATTTACCTAAGGGTGCGGTTGGCATACGGATGCATTCGTGGTAGAGGTAAGGTGCACCCTAAAATTTTATCATGGTATATAATTTTGATGTAAAATATTTTTAGGATTATTTTAAAATTTATTTTTATATCTAATTATAAAATTTTAAATTTAAAAAATAGTAAACATATGAAAGTCTGGAAAATGGAAGGTGTAGATAATATGTTGTAAAATGCACTATTTCTAAGCCGTAAAATCTTTTTATTTTTCATGGTCATACATCTCGATGTCGAGGTCATCAATTTAAGGGTTTTTCAACATTAAAACTACCTTTTTCAATGGATTTTTTAGGTGCATCCGTAGTTCTATATTATAAGGTTGCTTCCTTATATAAACTTTTTCTTTTACCCGAAGAACATTAATTTTTTTTATTAAAATATGAAATACTCAATTTATAGGCAGAAATTACAAAGAAAATCAGTAACCTCGTAATTTATTTTTTTATTTTTTAAATTGCCCCTCTATCAAAGAATGGAATCTTTGGACCGAATTTTAATTTTAGTTGTTGTATGGACATTGTTCTTTGGATTGTTGTATTTGATGTTTTGATTGATTGAATTAAGGAAAAAGTAACGGAGGCTCTAAGCAATCCAATTAGAGCCTACCTCAAAAAGTTTACTAGAAAAGGTTGTTCCGATGTTCAAATATCCTCAAATTGACCATCTCGACATTAAGATGAAAGAAAAACTTATGTGATATTTAATCGGGCAATACATTTTATTTTTTTATTTTTTATTTTCACCCCTTTCTTTTGGTAAACGATCACTTACAGGTAGTCTTTATTATAATAAGATAAATTTCAAAATAAAATCAACATAGCAATAAAACCAATATCTTAGCAACTTGATGTTATTAAAATAACTATACACTATGCTTGAGAATAAAAGATAAAATTGTAAGAAACAAAAAGAGTAGTGCCAAATATTACTTCAACCGGGCTTATTACACCCCACACCGAGTCACCACCATTCGATGGCGCGGGATCAACATCCTAGTTTCAATCTCGAACCGGAAAAGCAAATTTCGATCAAGTCATACCAATAGAACATGAACCCCTTTGATTACAAACTCAACCTAGTTTGAAAGACTCAGGTTCTTTTTTAGCAACCTAGTTTGAGAGACTTAGGTTCTCTTTTAGTAACCTAGTTTGAGAGACTTAGGTTCTCTCTTAGCAACCTAGTTTGAGAGACTTAAGTTCTTTCACAATGTGAGAGAGAGATCAAACATGAGAGAGTGATGCATGCCCATTTTTTGGGATATGAGAGAGAAAGATGGGAATAAGGTACAAGAGTTAAGGTGTAAAGATTCTTAGGTAGAGACGATCCTTTTTATAAGCTTTATAAGATTAATGTTTCTTAAGGTTTTTTTTGCTTCTTATTGTGATATTGAACATAGATCGTTGATCAATGGCGACTTGTGGGATGAGAGATCTGACCCATCCATTCTATTCATCAACATTATGGAATGTGCATGAACCATTGTCCTCATTTCCTAAATCATTTTCCCATCAATATATTTAAATAAAATAAATATCATTCATTCTATAAAATTGCACGATCCATGTCACATATTCCATAAGGACATGTCAAATAATATTAAGTAGATAAATACTACCAAATATAAATAAGATAATATTCGTATCAATTCAAATTGATCATATTTCTTTAAAACAAACTTGCTAGATAAAGCCATGGTCAATATATCCCTTCTAAGATTTGACTACATACCATAAATCAAACTAACTTTTATCTTAAAAGCAAACAAGAGAATCCAAAGAGGGTGGGGCATGCCACCCTTTTGTGGCACATGTGGGCCTCCACCCACATGCCACATGGTGGGTCCATGTGCACTATAGGCCCCATGAAATATTATAAAAAAAATTATTTTTTTTTAAAATTGAATAAAACAATTTAAAATATATATTTGAATTTTTATAACTTTGTAAGAACAATAACTGTAATTTTATAAGTCCAAAAATCACAAATAAAATATTGAGAGATTCATAAAAATTCAAACAATAAAACTAAAATCATTTCAATAATAAAATGAATACAATTAAATTAATATGATGGGAAAATGATCCATATGGTTCAGGAATCAACAATCATGGGGTACTCCACCTTCAACTGTGGACTACAAACCATACTTACTTTATCGGACCGACCCAGTGTTTCTCATGACCCACAGTCCAAGCAGGGGTTCATTCGCGGGTCACCAAAGTCAGGTCGATGAATCAAGCGCAATCCCAGTCTGTGGATTATAGGTCCTCTCTTAGAGACAAGTTAAGGTCACCACAACCTGATGCGACCACAACTCTATGACGCATAGGGGTATCTCTCGCACATGCATACGTTTCACCCAAAGGTGGATATCTGGCTTTTTCCAAATGATCTATCAATATGCATGCCGTGTGATGGAACATGGATGAGGTTTTGACCCACGTCTCAGTCGGCCACCATCACACACAAGGGTCACATAGTCCCTCGGCTCACTCATTCGGGCATATTCTCCGACCTTATCAAGGGCTAACCCATTAGAACCCTTCTCGGTTTGTTCTTT